TATATTTTTTTTATTCACTTGTGCAATGTAGTCAACAACGAAATGTGTGCTATCTTATATTAATGAAAGTTATGTACAATTATAAATGTTATGATTCAACTATCATCACAGTATGTGAGAAAACGAAAAAAATTGACCAGACTCACGAGGTTTGGCTAGCCAATGCAATTAATGGGAGTTAATGTAAATGGTACACGATTTTCAACAGTAAGATGAACTACTGTTTGTACCACTTTGTAAGTAATCAATGTAAGAACTGATTAAATCATCCATTTTATATCCAAGTATCGTTTCAAATAGTATTTTCCGACCGTTCATAAGGTTACCGATCGTCATGTGAAAGTAGGTATCACCCGATGACCAGCTTGAAATATCCGCAAAGCTAAACATAAAAATTATCTCTTTCGTTGAAACATCGATGAGACTCACGCCATTCTTGTTTATTGCTACGTATATGCTTTCGGGTAGTTCAGGATTGGTTGATTGGCGTACTTCAAAAAATGATGAACCGAAAGTTGGCCACTGGCAAACTTGCTGTAGGAATTTCATTCTGGCTTCGTCTTGATCGAGATCTTAAAAAAAAAAATAATTAATTAATAAGCACACATTGACAATATATAACTGCTTACGAGTAAAATGAAATTCGGCGTACCATTGTTTTGATTGAAGGCTGTGGTAATATATTTTTTCCATTTTTTGTGGCTCATGACGTTTATCATATCAGCAGGTACGTATTCATGTAGCTTCAGGCTAAAGTATTAAAAAAAAAAAAAAAAAATTAGATAATGAATAATATTAAAATTTTATGGTATTGGTATCAAGTACCTACTGTATTTGAGCTAGTTCTTCTTTATTGTCCGTATGTGCACTTATAAAAATAAGAGAAGCTAATTGTATGGCCTCCTCCACGGTACACTTGTGGTAACCCAATAAGTATTTTGTTGCTTCTTGATAAAAGTGAAATTTTAAATCAGCATTTCTATCACGCCCGGGAAGGCAATTTACCCAAATTTTTCTCATAAAGAGAACTTGATACGCCGTCTGTAATGTGGCATCATTTTGCGAGTCCATTATTTCCCGCACGAAATCGAAAAAGTAGTAATCATGTGGCACGGAAGTAACTCGATTTGCTATTTTAAAGTAGAGGCTGAAACCTTTGCTGCCACGTAGCTGTAGAGTTTTCGATATTTCGTCGCACAAATCTACTGCTTTTGTTGAGGAATGCACCTAATAATGGATTCTCCGCTGAATTAATTTGTACAAAATAATTTCAAAAAAAAAGAAAAAAAAAAAAAAAAAAAAGATTGAACCTCAAATGCTGAAACGGTGCCGTCTGGAAAGTAAATTTTATGGAAAATTCGCAGGTTTTTACAATTAATTGCTTCTATTTCGAGGATAGTCGGTGGATGTATTCTCTTCGAGCCCATTTTAACAATGTTTTTCAGTCTTGCCAGGCATGCTTGAGTCAAGCCATTGTTTCTAGAAATCAAGAATTTTTCCAACTCCCTACGAATCAATGTACTGCCTGGCATTATTCCAGTTGCCAACCACATGAGCTCCCATCCTCGTTCTTCACTTAGCCGTACTTTATTAATGGTCAACTGACGCATTATTTGACAGTAAACTTCATCGCTAAGTAAAGCCTTGCAAATATCAAAAATGACAAATTTTTATTACTTTGTTGGATAGGAAAGAAAAAAAACCGAATCACTCACATCTTTCAAAGCTGGTCCGAAAATGTGATCGGTGAAGTCGGTACCAGTTCGTTGTTTATTACTAGGAAGATCGCCCATGTACTTTAAAATATAACTGAATATTCTTACGGCTTCTTTGGACAGTTCATGTTTGTTAGCAAGTGCCGCTAAAAGGGGAGCTTTCATGGGTTCTCGAGTGTGTTTCCATAGCTCATGGGATGCGCTGCTCCTCGTCGAAAATCCAGCCACGGAAGGCGTTGATTTCTTATCGTTGGCCCGAAAGTGCTCTTTTGAAAATTTCTTCAAATTGTGATGGTTTATTTCTTTGATGTTCAAGTTGAGTTCTTGCATCACATGACTTTGTATTTTTGATGTCAAGTCTGATTTGTACATTTCCTGAAATTTTTTTTTAACAATACGTATAACCATAATCTCACGTGACTACGATTTCAAGAGTAATTTTGAACTTACTACCACTTTTGATGATGGTTTACGCGAAACTGGTAAAACGTACACGTACTCGCATGGAAATCTTATTTTAACGTTGTTTATTTCTCCAAACGCCCACGACGACGTAATTATTGTATTACCAGTGCAGCCATTGGTTAATTTTAAAATATCGCCCTTCCTAAATGACGACTTTAAATCATCTGCAAACAAAAGTATTGGATTTTATATTTTTTATTTCAGACGCACGACATAGGATTTTTTTGTTTGTTTGTAATAATGTCATTGATGGGTGATCGTCACATTGAATTACCATTGTTTACGTAATCTTGAATCGCCAAAACGTAAGTTGATCTTTGTTTTAATCCGTCAATCAGGTAATTTATGAGTAACGCGCAACTTTCAGCATTGTAACTTTGAAAGCGAAATTCTTCCCTCTGTATGGTTGACATTGTCAAATTCTGAAGTAGATAATTGTCATTTCTGAAAATTATGTAACGCATGAGTTTCAACGAAGCGAAAGTGGTGTTTAGAATAAAAATTGTACTTTTAGCATTACTTTTGATGGGTAACTTCGGATATTTCAGGGAAGGAAAGTTGTAAAAGTATCTGTTCATCGTCATTGATGAAAAATACGCCAGCAGAGTTAACAGCAACAACAACATCAGTGACGTTCAACTCTGGTCCAAAAATCTTGTTAACTTCGTAAAACTTGGAAAATAAAATTGACCAAGAGCTCTTAGCTTGCGTTACGACATCCTCCTTCACCCTCAACAAATCACATTCTCTCGCGCCAAATTTCTAAAAATAAATTACGCGTGCACCCTCGTACCTTCCAATGATCAGTAAAAAAAGGTCACATTATAAATGATCACACAAACCTTTTGGTAAGTGTCAACTACTAGTTCTTCCAGTCTCGACATAATAGACTTAGGATCTCTGTGAAGTAACTGATTAGGAACGTAAAGGTGTAAAATGTTCTTCAAATTTTTCGGTAAAGACTTTGAATGGTAGTGAATAAATAATTGTTGTGCTATAATAGTGGCCAAATTCAATTCCTTTGAAAGAAAACATGGATTTTACTTTACCAAAATGTATGCGATTTCACGTAAACAAACAGAATAAAATTTTTACATCATTGAACCTATATTCACCCGATTTCACACTATTGCATATCTGGTGATATATGAGATTAGTGGCTACTTGATCGGCTACAGCATCTTGCCAAGGTGCAAATATTTCTTTTCGAAGCATGAGCCGCCAACGCTCGTCTCGCTCGGGATAACCCTGTTCCATGGAATATTGCTCGCATTGAGAAATGGCGTCCATCACGTGCTCCCTGATTTTTATTCATTCGGAGATTTGAGATTACGGTTAGAAAATGTCAGTTAAAAAAAAAAACAAAAATATTTGTTTGGTTGAAATACTTTTCGGAACCGAGGGATGAAAATTTGTCGTCTATTGCTATGAAAAGTGAAAAGCCGAAGGTATCTCGAAGACTTATGCTACTAGCCAGACTTTCGACGATTTCTTGTGATGTACTGGCCGAGTCAGCTTGAATTATTTTCGAATTTCCATTGGCAAACGTAACCTTCAGGGATATTGGTTGCTTATGTTTGACCGACTAAACAACAATTCACAAATTTTACAATTAATTTACAACCTATTATTCGAAGATTCTAGTCACAAAACCTGTATTTCCATCCAACAGGGTGGTTGGGTCCTCGAGCCATTTTCGTAAGTTCTCGTGAGTCTTTTAGCACACAACGGAGCATAATCCGAAGGCCCGGTTTTGACGAAAGATTTCAAGTAATTTATAAACTTGTCTGTGGGTGCGAAACACCCGATGCACAGGGACAAAAGCACCCATCCTTTGGCGTACGATGATTTGGACGGATTGTTGATCAGTTGCTTCACAATTTGGCAGTAAATTTCGTCTTTTAATTCGGGACGTAATATCCCGTGGCCTGTGATGAAATGTAACTTTTCAAGATTCGATCTTTTTTTACTCAGCCACGTTTCGTACTCGTCGTTTGCAATACCTAGAAAAAACAAAATGATCACGAAAATCATTGCAAGATAATTCTTCCATACCTCAAACACACCTTCGGTAATGACGTTGTTCAATTTATTCTTCTTTCTTATGGTTAGTCTTAATAAATGTTGGTCCGTCTCATTAATTACTTTATCCTTGCTTGTTTTCATAAAATTTTTCGATATGGATTCCGTAATGGTACTCATCACTGGTTTTTTATCACGATAAGAATCGTTATCCGATTCTGGCAAATCACCCATAAACCGCAATATGGTGATCGACAGAGCCATTGCTGCCTATAATGCACAAGAACAACTATATATAAAAAAAAAAAAAAAAATTCTTTTAGCTTGATTAAACTGCTTTTGAAAATCAATTATGGTTTTACCAGTTGATCGGATATGTGAGGGAGGTCCAAAAGCGAGTGTTTCAAAGGATGCTTAGAAAAGTACGGAGTTTGACCGCTGGTGAAATAAATAGCGGCAAATTTATGAAACTCGTAAGACACAATGACACAATGATTGCATATATCACTGGGAACTCTGGGGGAATTTTGTCCCGTGGCATCTTTCCTAGCTAGATCTGCGTGTATTTCGTAGGATATCTTTCTTGCCCTTGTGTTCATTGGTTCATCGTCGAGAAAATCAAACGCGGTATTTATGCTGTTACTTTCAGACTCACTGATGAAGAAATCTTGATTTTGTCGCCCTTTGTCTTTCAACTGTTTCCTCTAGAACAATAATTACAACAAATTGCATTTATTGAAAATGTAATTTAACAATACGCACACTTACTTTGTCCTTGCAATGCTTTCGTACGATATAACGACGACATGCAGCCTGTAAGTATTGACAAACGAAAATTTTATACAAAAACTACAATGGACAACGTTTTCATTAAAAAACACTTACCTGAATCGAAACAATGATTTGACGTTTTTTTCGGTAATCAGTCTCCAGATGTCTCGATTTGACTCGAGATTGAAGGCGAAAAATCGCTTTGCGCAGTAACAAATACGTCTTCCTTTGCCTAAAAGCTCTCCAGTTTTTTTGCAAAACCACTGCCGCATTTTTCATTCTCATGAACCTAAAATTAATACGTCACTGGAGTCATTTTGTTTTTCACGCACAACCAGAACTTCGTATACGAATCTCTTGCGATATTCACCTGTTACGACCGACCCACATCCTCAGGGTTCTCTGGAGCACCAGAGCGCTGGTATTCAGAGCTTTGGCTCTCTCTTCTTCCAAAACGAGGCTCTGGTAGTCCTTCAAAAACACCTTGGAGTGTCCAAACTGATAATCGTGTTCGCTCGGATTCAGGAAGCTCTTGCAGATTTTTTCCGTCCCGAACTTTCTGTTGAACCTCTGGGACGGTTCGATTCCTCGTGCTAAAGCGCCGAAACGCTCAACAAACTCGGTGTAATCGTAGCGCCGAGGGTAACCAGCTTGGCGTATTTTTGCCGTGTCGAGCAGGCCCAGGTAACGAAGTTGTCGGTAGCAGAGCGCTTCGTCGAAAATCTGTAGAAATAAGATTTAGCAGACTTTGTGATTGTTAGATGATAATCTAAAAATGCTTTTCCACGAAAGTTTGATAAACGAGCCTATGCATTTTACAACATCGTGCAATCATCCAAGCCTACTGTTCACACAAACATTGAACAACAATACCCTCTCGTTGTTGTAACATTGGTCGTACGTGTCTTATCGTACACCGACCTAAATTACTTCACTTCGAGCTTGCACGTTTAATGATGTTTGCATTGGTTGTGGTTACATGAAACGTACGAGGTTTAATGGCCCTAATCTTATTCACGAGCCATAGCAACGAGAGATAACACCTTTGGACTGCCGATCCATCGGCAAAAAATAATATTAGACGCGAAAATCAATCAAGGTATCACCATTGCAAGAACTATCACCATTGTGTTGTAATTACAACGGAGTATCGTATACCTGAGGTGCTTGATCATCGTTTGGCTTGACGCATCTGATGAAAAAAGGGTTGCACTCGCTCAACGTGTTCAGAAGCAGCTCGAGAGACTCGCGGAACTTGGTCGAGAGAGTTGCCGATATTTTCCCAGTATCGCCGTTGGCCGACAAGTCGCTTTTGGAAAATAGTTCTTTGAAAAAGGCGTTTGTCGATGCAGCCAGTACTTGGCCAAAGTCGCCGGGGATGCAGTCGCGGTTCTTGTCGAGGAAGCCCGTCACGTCGTACCGCACGTTCCCCGCGTAATGAGCGATCCCAAACTCTTTCGACAGGGTCGATCTCGATCTGACAAAGTGTTTGCTGTTCCCGTGGATCAGAGACAGTTTGGACAGGAAGCTGGCGTCGGAGCCCTACGGACAGTCAATTCAGTCATCCTCTCCCGTCGATCGGATCGTCGACCTCGTTTCCACATACCTTTGGAAAAATGCTCTCCTCGTCCAGCAGCGACATGATATTCAGAGGCTTGGCGCCGATCAGGTCGATGATCTCTTGGTTGTCGTCGAACTCGATGCTGCGCCAAGTTATGCCCTCGGAGGCGTAACTGGCTTGCTCGAGCTTGAATATGTGGGCCACGAAAAACTGCTGCAGGTGCTCGTTGGTGTAGTTGATGCAAAGCTGCTCGAAGCTGTTGGTCCCAAAGTTCTCGAAGCCAGAGATGTCCAAGATACCGATCGCGGTTCTCGGGTGCTTCTTGGGGCTGCGTATGGTGTTGTTGATGTCCTCGAGGAGTTTTTCAAAGATCTTCTCGTAAATGGCCTTCGCGAGGGAGTCCCGAACTTCGCAAGCTTGACTCAGCGACAGGTTGCTTATCTAAAAACAACAGCACAAAACATTGTATTCGGTCCGTCAGATAGATTTTACGAGCGGGGGCTTATGATGTAAGGGTACACATCGTGAGCAATGTAACGTATATTCATCATTATTTATTTGTTTGTTTGTGTGAAATGAAGAGAAAATATGTGTCCAATGTTTTTTGATAATCGACTTGCCGGATGAAATTAAATTTTCCATGCAAGTTCCTAATCGGTGAAACGCTTCTGGGTGGGATCGGTAAAAAATCGGTTAGTTTTCGTAACCGGCATGATATATACTTACGACCCTCTCTCCTTGGGCGAGTATGCACTTTTTGGTCAAAAAGTCCGTGACGACGTTTTCTCTTAGACCTAGAAACTCGCAGATTTTCTTCAGCCAGATACCTTCTTGGATCTCAATCGCGTCGGCATGGGCTACAAGTCAACAAGAAGACCTACTTAATATTATCACACCGTATAATAAAAGCCAACGTCTTTTATACGGCATCGAACGAAATAAGCGTACCAACTGTGATGGCTCTGTACTTTAAGTTACCCAAATGTAAAATCGTAGCGAGCAAAGTGGTGATCTCGGAAAAAGTCCCTTCGTCGTAATTGAGTATCTTCATGGCGGCCTTGACGTCGGCAAACGTCTGCGCGTCGTTCCTGCCCTTGCAATCGGCGACCTAAATGTCGAAAAATCGCGTGAGAACAGTTGCTTCCAAGGTCAAAAGGGGGGAAACAGGCAAAATCACACCCCACGCTGCAGGTACTCAAAATCCGAGACTTTTTTCAAATTCAATCTCTGCCTCTCCGCGTCGCTCAGACCATCAAAGAGGGCGTAGAATATGTGGTAGTTCCTCTCGCACTTGGCTTGCGTGACCATACGGCTTTTCTCCAGTAAGTAGCAGTCGATCTTTGCCCCTTCGATCTCGTCGTCTCTGCCGAAATGGATGCTCACGTACTTGCCGAACCTCGACGAGTTGTCGTTCATGTGCGTCTTGGCGTTGCCGAACGCTGCATCATAAAAATACTTTTTGGCAATCCGATTCGTGATGAAAGTGTGAAAAAAAAAAAAAAAAAAAAATCGCAGTAAGCGAGACCTTCCAGAATGGGATTGGCCTCGAGGATTTGTTGCTTGATCCACGCGCGTCCGCCCGCACTGGCTGCCGTGAGAAATTGCAAGATCAGCTTCGTGCTTTCGGTCTTTCCAGCCCCGCTCTCTCCGCTGGAAAATCGGTTCGACATTTTTTCACGGGAGCCATATGGGGTTGCAAAAGTCACGCGTCGCTTACCTTATGAGGATGCACTGATTGCGACGCGATTTTCTCAATGCGACGAAGCACTTGTTGCTCGTCGCGAATACATGGGGTGGTAAGGTTCCCGGCGCTTCCTTCGAGTACGTGGCCATATCCTTTGCGGAATATATGTCCAGGACTCGGTAAGGGTTCACGGCTATCAGCATATCCCCGATGTACGTCTGCGAACGGTCAAGTATTGGCAATAAAAATTTCAATGGGCTAATCGTGTGTATACTCACGTAAATCACTTGCTCCTTGTATCTCTGCCGAAGATTCCTCAAAATAGCGTACTCTTGTAGATCAGGCAAATTAATCATATCGTCTACGACGCCTGTGGTTGACGCGCCTAGAGGCCCAATGATTCTTTCGGGTGTTATCCATTCGGTCTGAAAAAACATTATCGCGTCAACGAGTCCGATGGCTCAACAGTAAACAACATTCTTTTACCGTCTATTTTCATGCGCACCCAGCAGAAGTAAACAGAATATTTTATTCGGCACGAAAAAATATTACGATTTCTCGATGAAAAAAAATGAAAAATTTCGGACGCAAATCGTCCAATGACAGACATGTAGAACAATTTTTCTTTTTTGTCCAAAGTTAGTAGTAATCAATGAACTATTTGCTTTTGTATACGATCAATCGTCAGATAAGATGCATACGTATTGATGTACGAGCGTTAAATTGTTTTGTTGCTGTGATAAGAGTAATATACGGATATAAAGTGAGTGCAACGCAAATATTACGTCTTTTTCTTAACTTTTTCATGTAATATGATAAAAACGCGATAAATCGAAAAATTGTTGCGGTTTATTTATGTAATCGTCAAAGTATAAACGTCACGCTATGAAACATTTGTGCTTGTAACAGTCAACTATTTTACTGTAAACTCACGTTCCCAGTGGCATCTTTCACTTGGATCCTTTTCTTGTCGACTTTGACTATCCTACAGTCCTTGGGAACATCGAATCCTACAGTAGCTGCTTCCCGTCGAACCCACACGTGTTCGCCCTTGCAATAAAAAACAACACAACTTTTATACAATCACAAAAACTGGGGTTCCTTTTTTTCCGCGTACCTACCGTTGAATACATGATAAAATATTGATTTTAGAAAAAAAAAAAAAAAAAAACGCCAAAATTAAAGTGTTACTTCATCGCTGGCCCTCGTTCAACTGGAAATACAGGGTTTTTCGTGAGGTTGTATACCTATCAGGTGTACGTCATGCACTTAGCCACCGCAGAGCGCGTATAGATCTTATCTATCGCGTTAAATATCGATAAGTACGGAAAAAATGTTTGTTTATCTCGTCTTTACTCGTATCTCGGCATCAAACACACTCATAGCGCCACAGCGAAGAACCGAGATCGGTAGTTGTATCGGATTAATTTATTGTTCCTCATTCTATCTGTAATAAAAGATTTTTTTTGTACCCGATGTTTGTGGTGATTGAATTTTTTTTTTTTAATTGCAATTAAAACTTTTTTTCAACCGATCGATGCCCGTTTCGGTAATACGAAACTGTGCTCGGGTGCTGTTCCAGTTGTTCGTCGAGATGAGCCACTGCCTCCGTGGCGCAATTGGCTAGCGCGTTCGGCTGTTAACCGAAAGGTTGGTGGTTCGAGCCCACCCGGGGGCGTTTACTTTTGCCATTTTTTTGTAAAAGAATCGTTGACGATTTTTTTTATTTCACAAGTTTAGCTGTATACTGTAATTTATTTATCTTAAACAATGGTACGGTATTTGACAATTTTTTTTATTTCACAAGTTTTTGCAACTGAAATAATTTTATGCGAAGATGAAATTCATTTGCATTCTTCATAGTAATCATCGGTATGAAAGCGAATGACATTTGCGTTATTTCTTGTGACCAAATAAAATAACGGACTTTTTATATGATGTTCAATGCAACAAATTACTTGACATATTGTCTAAATAATTCGAGATGGGAAAAACATACGACTCCATCTACCGGCGAACGTTAATATGTATTTTTCATAGTATGATGGGTGTTTTCCGCTATCGTCACCAGCAAGTAATAGTGGGTTGCGCTCTACGTTACCATCAGGTCGGTAAGTCAACTACCTACCAAGAATGGAGCATTGGATCTCACTAAATAAAAAATACATTTATTACAGAGAAGTAATTTTGAAGTATTATAAATAAACAAAGAACCCAACCTTCTCTGATCAAGTGAGATCCAATGCTCCATTCCTATAGGAGAAGGAGACTCTTCGTGTGACTTCTTTCTTTTTAAGACCTTTTTTCTTCAGTTGTCTCTTTTCGACTGATTAATTTACGTGTATATTTGATCGTGATTTACGATTTCTGTAACACAAATTTTGCTATGTACATATTATATAAGTTAACTGTTTATTGGAAATCTAAAGTTGAAGGGCTCTTCTTTCATTAGTTAATGGTAAAAGGTCAAGAGTATTGTAATTTTGTAAATATTGTCGATTTTATGAGCCATATAAGAGAAGTAGAATATTGGTTGTCGGTGGTCGATGGTTTTGGAGGTCGATTTTAAGGTAAAAGATAAATTGTAAACTTGCCGCAAGTAGCACAAAAAATGTTAACTTTTTATTATTTATCTACAAAATTTGTTGCGGCTGGTTTATAACTAATAAAGTGACTTTACTGTTAGTGGCAATAGCAATAATTATTTTAGATCAGCGCCATCTAGCGGTCTCTATTTTTTGGCCAAAAGTGGCTCCTAAAATTCTCAATCAGAGCATTCAGGATTAGAGCCATTTAGTCAATTATAAACCAGCCGCAACTAATGACAAAGCTATAAAATAAAAAATAAGAATACATGTGTTTTTGGCGGCAAGTTAACAATTTATTTTGTTCTTGAAAATTTATCTTCAAAAGTATAAACACATACGAGATCGATTTTTTGATAGAAAATAGATTGTTAACTTGCCGCCAAAAACACACGTACTGTTATTTTTTTATTTTGTAGCTACAAAATGAGTTGCGGCTGGTTTATAATTGACTAAATGGCTCTACGCGCTAAAGCTCTGGTTCAAAAGTTTAGGGCCACTTTTTAGTTCAGAAATTCGCAACGCTAGATGGCGCTGATCCAAATAATTATTACTTCTTATATTAGAGCCATTTAATTAATTATAAACCAGCCGCAAATAATTTTAGAAATAGATAATAAAAAGTTGACGAGGTCTGTGCTATTTACGGCAAGTTTACAATTTATTTTCTACCCTAAAGTCTACCTCCAAAAATATAGATATTCATATGGTTTAATAAAATCGACCATATGGCATTACTTAGTAGTAATTACTTTCACTATCACTTGCTTGTGACGATTGCGGAAAACACCCTTATAATTTTGCGCACAGAAAACTGATTCGGATGGTAAAACAGAATATCAAACTTTCCCATAAGCAGACCGTGGCCTCATTACGTAAGAAAAATTATTCGAAGATTTATACCATAAACAAATACACATTTTTAATCGGAGTGACAATAGAACGCAAAATAATTTTGTTGGTAGTGTTTATAGAATCCACAGTGTATGAAGTAGCAGACGAAATTTGCTCGTAGACAATATTTTGTCGTCGACCTTTGTGGTTACACACTCACCGGCTACTTGTTTTAGATTTGTTTTGTTTTTCTATTTAATGTCATCATACGCGTCGGTGGACCGTACATAAAGTATTCGAGTATCGTGATCGTTTTATCGCATCAGTTATAACGATTTAAATTGATTGACATAGCGGGATATACGTAGGCACGCGTAATTTTGAAGGTTAGATTGTGCCGTGAAAACGCTCGTTTGTGTGTGCCTTTTGCTCCGATTTACGACAACTGTTTCATCATCATATACAATCGGTGTATCTCAAGCTTGTTCTCTGCTTCCAGGATAAAGAATCGTAAAGGATGGCTGCTCAGTTCTTCAATAGGATCGGACAGCTGGGCCTGGGTGTTGCCCTTGTTGGAGGTGTTGTCAATTCGGCACTTTACAACGGTTTGTTTTGCCATTCCATTTTCCAATTTTTCATTTATTGGAACATTGGGAGCTGTGCGATTGTGTTGTCATGTTTTATGCAATTGTTGCATTATCAAAATTTCCACTGTGTTGTTTTGATTTTGAGCTGCTGTAAACAGCTTTTTTCTTCTTGAAACCTAGCTATAGTGTATACAGGTTGCTTTGAAGGCAAATTTTAGTGATTAAAGTTTTTTGTTACTTTTTGATTCTGCAAATCTACGAAACTTTTTGTATAAATTGATTGTTGTGTAAATGTTTAACTATCTTTTTTATGCTGTCTAGACTAACAAAGTTGTGTATTTTCTTTCAGTTGATGGAGGTCACAGAGCTGTCATTTTTGACAGATTTGCTGGTGTGAAAAATACCGTGGTTGGAGAAGGAACACACTTTTTCATTCCCTGGATTCAAAAGCCAATTATCTTTGACATCAGATCCAGACCCCGAAATGTACCTGTAGTAACTAGTAGTAAGGATTTGCAGAATGTTAACATCACGCTGCGTATTTTGTTCAGACCAGTGCCTGAGTCCTTACCAAGAATCTACACTGTCCTTGGTCTTGATTATGATGATCGAGTGTTGCCTTCCATTACTACTGAGGTGCTGAAAGCTGTAGTTGCTCACTTTGATGCTGGTGAACTGATTACTCAGAGAGAGGTTGTTTCACAAAAAGTTGAAGAAGACTTAATGGAAAGAGCTAAGCAGTTTGGAGTTATTTTGGATGATATTTCCATTGTAAGTACTTTTTTTATTGTTGTACTTTGAAAACTGAACGATTCTTTGACATTGATTTATTATTTTTTGGCTGTAAATGAAGACACACTTGACGTTTGGTAAAGAGTTTACTCAAGCTGTTGAGTTGAAACAAGTAGCCCAGCAAGACGCCGAAAAGGCTCGATTCCTTGTAGAGAAAGCTGAACAACAGAAAAAGGCTGCTGTCATAAGTGCAGAGGGTGATGCTCAGGCTGCCGAGCTGCTTGCAAAATCTTTGGGAGATGCTGGTGATGGTCTGGTCGAACTTAGGAGAATCGAAGCTGCAGAGGACATTGCCTATCAATTGTCAAGATCTCGCCAAGTCACCTATTTGCCTCCTGGTCAAGGAACTTTGCTCAATTTGCCGCAGTAGAGAGTAATGTAAAACGAGGTGATAATGTGTGCATACTGTGTACATTTTATAATATTTTTATCTGGGTCTCTGACCAACGCAGAAAGAATGCAAATGCAGTTTCTCCCATGGAACACTGTAAACTAGATAACCACTGGAAGCCTGTAAGCATTTGTTGACTTAAACAGTATGTACTGATAAATGTAAAAATGTGTTATACTTTTGCTACACCAAGATAGTGATTTAATAATAATTTGTTCTTCTATATTACATATTACTTTATTAACCAGTATGTACCAGTTATTGTTAAGAGAATCACTTCACAGCAAAATATGCGTTGATTTTTCAAGTCTGCTATTTTGGAATTATAAAATCATGTGTACAGCTATCATATCCAACTTCCTTTGGAAAGTATAGTTTTTAAACAAAGCTAAATATTTTGTTTCATCATGAGATTTTTTCTTATTATTAAACACATGTACATAGGAACCTGCACGTTTTATTTTCTTGCTTTTAACTTTTACAACACTAATTATCAATAGACGGTGCAGATTATAATCACCTATGAATTGATCGACAAGTAGCAATAGTCCCTCATTGAATCAAACTATCGGCTTGGACGTAATTTACGGTAGGTATGCGGAATCAAGTAGTCCATGTACAGAGATAACTAATGCTACGGTAGCATGAGTCTAAGCCCACTGCGATGGACTCTTACTTTTGTCGTGCAGCCTTTGCTCGGAAGCTACACGAGCTCAGTATTGCCTATACTAATTAGGTATGGCTCCTAAACAAAGCTGATTACTACAGTAGCATCAGAATTCTGTCCGTCTGTAGATCGTAACACAACCCGTAACAAATAAGTTTAGTTTATATGAGGCTACGAAATTGTCATGGTATTGTAACTTTATGAAAATAATCGAGTTCCAAAAGTCTTATCATGGGAATGGAACTGTACTCCCCGTGAATGAACCCCCGCTCACCGTGCAATTAACACTATCGCAGCCACCGTATGTGGCAGAAGGAGAATACGAGACGACGAGAACGAGAAAGAAAAAAAAATGATCAGCCAGAGCATTATCCCTGCAGGGAGGCGCGATTGTCGGCACCTATCAGTGGCGGTTGATCGCATATACGAGAGCTGCCACCGCCGCGGGAGATCGCTCGTCAGCTTTTCGCCGGGGCGGTCTTTTTGCGCGGAAAACTCTCAACAACCTCGGTATGTGCGTTCGATTGGTACACTTACTTTTTTCCTTTGGAAAATCAATATTCGGCTCTTACGTGGAGAAAAGAGCTAATACTCTGCGCGATCGAGCGATTTTCGGTTAGACGAGGAAAATATTTGGAGTGATTACCAATCGAGACAGATGAAATTGATGAAGCTGTATGGATTTTTTCCCGCCCATCTGGTGAGCGGCACTTGAAATGTTTTTTCGAAAATTCATTGGAAAATCATTGATCACTCGCCGCGAGGTATAGATCGTATACCCTCATTAGACACGTATATATCGTGGGGGCCTTTGAAAAAGGTCAGTTCATGGTACATTATATTGTATTGGTCATCTCCGCCACCAACGCGCTCGGATGGGATGTAATGTGTAATCAAAAGTTGGGTCATCGTCTATAATCTTAGTACACGCGCGCATTCCGGCTGCTGTTTCATTAAATGATGCAAGTTGTCGAAATGTTCATTGATCCGAGCGGAATAACAGCGTACACTGACAAATACATATTGCTGCTCGGATTGTCTTGTTTTCACCTTTGAAGAAGGTACTACATCTTGAATCTCATTTTGGAAAAGATAGTAAGTTTAGGGGAGAGAAAACTATAAATCGGCAGAATTTTATGGTTTTGATCAATTTTTAAAAACCCCAACAAATAAGGAATAGAGGAGAAACTTGAAAGTACGAATATCTTTTATTTATTTCAGGGAAGATACTTTTTTCAGGAGGAATGAAAAAATTTGCCAAAAAAACCTAGTAAAAACTCAAACTATACACTTTTAAGAAACGTGTACGACTTGATTATCTCATTTTCATGCAAAATGAACAATAATTTCTTTCAAGTTAAACCTATCCATAAAAATACCGAGTTCCACCCAAACGCTGCACATTGCACAATGCTATTTAGCTTGAAAACGTTGAAAATCCAGGTAGACGCAAGTTACATTTGACAAATGTGTGCATCCTTAAACAAAATGGTTTTTCTACTTTATTCATATAACAGTGTAAAAACCTCGTAGATACCTGCACATCGGCCTCCCTTCCCACCCTACAAACATCTTGCGCTCGCGCGCGCTAAATCAATTTATCATTTCGTCGCTTGGCTCGAAGGAGAGAGAGAGAAAAAAAGCAGCTTCTCCTCGGATTCCTCACCTTTTTTTTTTTTTTTCTACTCCGCGAGACAATCGATTTCTCATCAGAGCGGAAGATTACGTGTTGCGTGAATAATGAAGACACGATGATCCACAGCTTCGCGCGAAGCAGTTTCACGTAGATTAGGTATATACACCTACGGAGGGCCAAGCGCGCGTACAGCCACATCCACGCGAGCCCTAATTCGTTTCGCGCTCGTCGAGATTGTTCAGCACAATGTTTATTATGTTCATACGATTTAATTGTTTAAAAGGCTCGATTACCATTATCAAGCAAACGTAAATGAAGGACCCGCTGTATATCATGTGATTACGCATCAACCGCGATAATCATACACGTCACCCTCGACCAGTGCACACCCAAGCGATGTATAAAAACATCTGCAGTACGACGCACGAATGTGCAATGAGCACATGTAAGTATTATGCGTTAGTAGGATATATGATTCAAAGAGACGCAAATTACGTTCCTTCGAGTATATAGCCGTCTCGAAAAACCCGACGATTTTTCAGCCATTTGTCGGCAAATGAGCCTTGACCCCTTTCGCAATTAGACCAGACCGACGTCGCGATACACCCATTATATATTGTACCTACACACTGGCAAGTATAATAGCTCCGCTCCGGTGGTTGGAAAATAACAGGTGCGCCGCAGTGCTCTCATTTTTTCCTCCTCCTCAAGGGACACAGGCGTACACATGAGTATGCGCATATGCACGAAAAAAAAAAAAAAAAAAAAAAAAAAAAAAAAGTCGCGTGCGATGAGTCGGAAGGAGGAGGACGAAGGGGTGGACTACGCCAGTGTGCAGTCGGTCAGGATTCAAGGCTAAGGAACCAAGGAGAGACTCCCCCTCGCGTCATATGTCGCTTGGTAGAGCTGCACGCACGTCTCTCTCGGAGAGAAAGAGCCTGAGACGCCGAGCGTCCGAGGAGTCACATGGGAGCCCCAGGGCCATTATTTAATGCTCCCTGCTTGATTTTCCACCCAAGCTCGCGAACAAGCGTTGGAAAATTCAATTTTCGACGCAATCGAAGAATTTCCGAAAAAATACACAGAGATAAGGGCGGGAGAAAAAGAATGGAAGCACATATCCCCCTCAGGAAAAAAAAAAAAAAAAAAAAAGAAGGGAAGTATCGACGGGGGCTAACGACCGCCGGCCCGGCACCTGTTACCCCGGAGAGGCCCACAGATGAGAGTTACGCCGGCGGGCAATATACATATGTACACGAGGCGCACGCGAGCACACATATGTTACCTCGGAAGGAGCACGTATAGGCCCCGAGAATCGAACATAATGCGCTTCTAATAAGCCGGCCCGCTGCTGCGACGTAAATTATCGGATGGCCGACGACGCAGTAGAGACGTTCTGCCGCTTAACGATTTGCCGGGAGCTTTTTTTCTTTTCCCCCTTACCCGGCTGGCTTATTTGGCGTTTGAAAAAACACGAAAAAATCCGGTACGCCCGCGAGGCCCAATGGTCCGTTTAATTTCGCGCTCGTATACATATTTATGCAATATACACGATGAGCCGATGGATTTTCGTCACTTTAGCTAACTGCGCCCGATTAACTTTGAAATATGATAATTAACGTTATTCAAATGACGCTAAGAAAGGCAGCGTTTATTAAGTATCATCCACACGGTAAATTACAAGGTTCTCGGTCACCGGGTGTGTTATTATGACACTTGTTCTGATGTGCAATGTGCTTATAATGTATATTGGTGCCTATATGTGCATGATTAAACGTTGTATACATATATATATATTGTATTGTTGTCTACTCGGTCTTCTTTTCGTTCTTCAGTTGGGTAGCGAACGGGTACTGCGGATGTTTTTCCACCCTGAAAACCAACCAGTACACCAGTCACACTGGTCAAAATAAAACGAACAAAAAAACATCTCCAAGTACATATGCTCACCCCTTGTCGATGAAGAAATGGAAAATCCTGCCCTGCTCTCCCTTGTCGAGTCCGTTCATGAGTTTGACCTCGTCGTCGGTGAGCTCAAAGTCGAAGATACCGATGTTCTGGCGAATCCGGTCCGGATGCGTGCTCTTGGGCAACACGATGATACCGGCCTGGGTCGCGTGGCGCAGCAACACCTGGGCGGTCGTCTTGTTGTGCGCGTCGGCGATGCGCTTGACCTTGGGGTTGTCCAGGAGCTTCGGGAGGGACTTGTAGATCCGCGTGCGCTTGTCGCTCGACGAGCCCGGCGAGCCCAAGGTACTGAACGCCGTGATCGCTATGTTGCGCAACGAGCACACCTCGCGCATTTCCCTCTGCTGGTTGTAAGCTTGCAGCTCGATCTGTCTCGCCGAGGATCACATTTTACGGGAATCGAGAGATGGTGGTTTTTTGCGTGTGTATAACTTGCCTGCAAGTTGCTGGGCTTTATTTCAGCGTGATCGTACACGTTCAGGAGCTGCGTCCGGTTGAAGTTGCTCAAGCCGATGGACCGGCAGCGGCCGGCCTTCACTTGCTTCTCCATGGCCTGAAAGACAATCGACAATTATTTCGTTTTTTTTTGTCCCCCCCCCCCCTCACAGATAAAGTATCCAAGCATGTAGGGACCTTCCAAATGTCGAGGTGATCGGTATCGAGATCCAGCACTACCGATCCGTCCTCGTTAAGAGCCGGCTGGTGCTTGTACTTGTCCTTGACGAAAGCGAAGGGCTTGTGGATCAAGTACAAATCCACGTACTCCAGATTCAGCTTTTCCAGGGAAAGCTTCAAGTACGCCTCGACAAGCGAGCCTCTCATTCCTATGGGCGGCAGCTGCGGTGGAAAGTCAAAGCGTTGGATATACCTACTCGATATATTAATGCACATAATGATATTATGTGTGTCATGCGAGATATACTTTGGTGGTGATGAAAAGATCTTGGCGCTTGTTTCCCTTATCGAACCACTTTTTCAACGCCTTGCCGATCGCTTCCTCGTTGCCGTACGTAAACGCGGTATCTATGTGCCTGTAGCCACTTTCCAGAGCTGACGTCACAGCCACGTCGATAGCCTCGGACGGCATCTGTCATTTATATTTAACCATATTTTCAATAAAAGTTTGCTTGTGATGCGTTTCTTTGTTTTTTTTTTTTTTTTTTTTTTATCACCTGCCAAGTGCCCAAACCAACGACGGGTATCTCATGGCCGGATGACAGTTTTATGGTTTTTTGAGGAGTCGATTTTGAAATCACCAGCGTCGCCAAAACGACGCACAAGTACAATATCGTTCTGAACCCATAATACATCGTCAAATGTGATTATCGAATTTAGTATTTAATAGTCTTACCTTGCGTGAGCCATTTTACGATACTCTGAATTTAAACTGTACACTGAAACGATACGTTCTCCGCGGCGATTCCAACTCGAGTGCCAGTTATCGGTTGAACGTTCGCCCAGACTTTCCACCCGCTTCGAGACGTGATGCAGCCAGTCTCATCCGGAGAAAGCGATTATTATGATTTTTGTTTTCCAAGTAGCACGGCCCGACGAGCTAATCGCGTGATTAATATAGACGCGGAGACTCGGGCCGATGGAATAAATCAAGTAAATATGTATACAAAGACGCGTTGAGCAATCGCGAGATTGCACGGTGAAAAGTTTAATGCGCGTAAAATAAAATACTTACGAAGGGAAAATCGAAGCTCCGCTTTGAAAAGCTCGATAATGATTCCGATCGCGTGATGGGTAGGGGAGGGGGAAAAAACAACCCCGTGGAACGCCAAATGGGGAAAAAAGCCCATCAAAGCGGCGACCCAAAAAAAAAAACGTCCGGTTGCACCGAGCGCTGAGAGAAATTCCAATTAACTTTCTCCAATTCGTACCCTTCGCCCCTACCAAAAAAAAAAATATAGACACGAAAAAGTAGACACTCCCCCCCCCCCTTTCCCGAAAGAAAAGATCCCACACGACTATGCATAATCCGCCCGCGAGCTTTGGCATTATTACCGATATCAATTTGAAATCGATTAGCCGTGCGCTTCACGCGCGAGGGGCATCAAAGCACGTGCCCTAAAAGCCCCCTGCTCTCTTGCAAAAAAAAAAAAAAAGAAAAAAAAAAAAGAAAAACGAACAGCATCAGGTATAGGTCGAAAAGAAAAGTCACAAAAAAGCGCTCATCCTCCGTTTTTTTTTTTTTTTCTCTTTTTTTTTTCAAACCCTCCCTTTTTACGATTTAAAGCTCAATCTGGGCTGGCCCTCTCCCTTCGGCTCTCGCGATTGCTTTTACGCGGTAAAATAGTCGAAAAAAAGGAAGAAAGGGAGAGAGGTAGTCGAGAGGGGTTTATTCGAATGAAAGCTCGTGGCGAGCCAGGAGAGCGAACGGCCGAGTGGGCAGCCGGGCAGTTCGTTACGCGAGCGCGCTCTCTCGCGTCAAACAAAGTGGAATGGCCCGCCCGCAAATGGGGAAGCTCTTCGCTGCTGCAGCCGATGCAGACACGTGTGTGTGTGTGTTGTTTGGGTGTAGCTGCGCGAGAGAGAGAGAGAGAGAGAGAGAGGGCCATTGGGGGAATTATTAGGTTGTGCTCATCCAGCGGAAGGGCAAAAGCTTCCGCGTGCGCTCGTTGCGTTTATACGCGAGCGTGCGTATATATACATACAAGCTCATCTTTTGCTTCTCTTTGCGAGGGACGGATGCTGCAGAGATATTTCGCAGACTGGGCAAATTTCGAGGTTTTTTGGAAAATAATCCAAAGTAGGGTACACCTTTGACGAAGAAAACCATACAGGTAGATTTTACACTGCTATACCATTTTTACTATTTAGGTGTTTTTACCGTGCAAAAGAAACAAATGATCAGACTGACGTATAACGATGTTTTTCAAGCAATGTACAATGCATTAACCAAATGAATAATTTTAATGTTTGCCATTTTAAACGTATTTATTTATACGGCTTGGGCCAAAAAATGGCATTACGAACCGAAGCCCCACAAATACATATGTCCAGAGCGAAGTTGCGAATCGATGAGCGGCTAAAATACTTACGTACCTAAAAAAACTTTACCGATCGCCTAAAGGTCTCACCAGCCTAAACGACAAAATCGAAGACCGGCAATAATTTCTTGCCATAAAGTAATTAGCTCGTAAGTGAACGTACAAATATACCGTGTACACGTGCGCTTGGGCTTTGAGTCCGGCACTAATGCAGAAAACAATTACAAGCAGAGGCATACTCCTCTCTCTCTCTATTTTAGCTCTGCCGAAATTGCAATGTCCCACCGAGCAGCCACTTAGCCACCGTTTGTCGCTCGTCCGCGTTATACGCGTGTGCCCCCCCCCCCGTTCTTTTGTCAGTCGGGCCATTCCCCGCACGATTTTCCAGTCTTTTAATTGACCCATTCTCTCCGACTCTTCTGTTAGAAATTCATATACACGCGCCCCCGAGCGTGTGCAGGAAGCCGTTATCATTCGATAAACTGACCGCACGGGCCACACACTTTTTGTTGGGACACGAGATTAGGTTGCACGGAAGAGACGTTAATTTGCCTTTGGGTAATAAAATCTAAATAATCGTCCATGCGACCATTAATTTTCAATATTTATGCCATACAAGCCAAAGAAAGCAATCCCCAAGGTAACCCCGAACACTATCTCTTCTTCGGACTTATGGTCTACGGGGGAAAAAATGAAGCTAAACGCCGAGCTGCTGTGTACAACTACACACGTATAATAACCACGTGCATATAGCAGGGCAGTTAGGCGAATTCAGTCGAGCGAAGGCTATACCTATATACTCCCGTAGCAGTCGTTGTGCGGCCGATGGCAAATTGTGTATGCTCGACCGGAGCGTCGAGAGGCTCGTTAGCGGGGATGGCCCACGCGTGTACTCCTAACGCTTGACTCCTCCGGCCTCTGTATTATTCTCCAAAAGGCATATGGGCCGCGGACTGCTCGATTCTTTGCTTATTCCCTTTTCGCGACTCGGTGCTTTCAATTTCGCGTTCGTACGAAGCTCGGGGGTGTGCCTAATACTTACTGTGTGTTGAACAAGTATGGGACACGTCGGTATGTGAAAAGATAACGAAGCACTTACTCCTTCCTTTTTTTTCCTTTTATGATATCCTCAGCACGATAATAAGAATCGAGCATTCGGAAGAAAGGGGATCGCTACACTGAGAAGAAAATAATAATAATGAAAACTATACTGTGCTAGAACTACTGCTCTGGTACTACTCCACCGTGTAGAGAATTTTTACCATTTGTACGCTACTTTTTACCGTTGTTAATGGTCATTTTAGTGATTATTATTTGTTCGTACAGTAAGAGTTACTGTCCACTAATTAAATGGTATAACAATTGAGTTGCCAAAGGAAAAAATTCCTCTGGATTACCGTTCTATGGCAGTAATTTTTGTAATAGTTTTAATTAATAATGCTCAGTGCACAAAAATAAAAAATAAAAAACCAACGACTAATTCTTACTTTCATGAGATGTTGATGTCACCGTAAGTTCATACATGGTTATTCTTCAGTCTAGCGTGTCACATGAGTATATTTTGAAAATTAAAGAAAAAAAATCGAGCAAATTAAAACTTTCAAGTTTATTACAGTGATCATACACTGGCTGTGATAGTATCTAGTTACGTGCAGAGATTTAATGTACAAGTTACGGATATCTACGTTTTTTTTCCTTACCAAATCTGGTATACTTAGCCATGTGTTGTTAAAATATATATTGCCCCTTGCCGATTTTACGTTACATCTTTGGCGTGATACATTGTGTTTGAAATAATAAAAAGAACAGAAATCTGTCTACGGACTCTTTTTCAGTGCAGCATCACGCGATGCTGTTGCACTCGTCTCACATTTTTTTTTTTTTTTTTTTTTCTCGCTATTCCTCTAAAGGTACTTTTTTCCCCCTTTTGCGCTTCACCTCTTTGTAGAATAGGTCCTTTACACGTACAAGCTATTAAGCGCGCGCGTGTATGTGTGTATATATCCATAGAAAATCGAAGTGTTTGTTACATTGTAAGGATCCGATTGAATTAGATTGCCTCTCTTTTCTTCGGGACGCACGCGAGGCTCTTCTTCATCGGAAGTATATGGCCAAAAATTGAAATCTCGAGGCCACTATTTTTTGCACACGCGCTTCGTGAGTAATCTGCATATTATCCACACGTGTTACTTGTATATTCAATAACGTGCATCGTGATACATTTTGTATATGCACCTTAGACTGAACAAAGTCTATACCCTGGAAATTATAGTTACGGCGTGTATTCTTACCGTCGAAAATCACGCCGAGATTGCACGAGACAACCCGACTATTATACCCATCATCCGAGAGTAGGTGAATTTGACTAAAATTGAGAGAGAGAGAGAGAGAGAAAAAAGTAGACCCGTGAGTGCGCGTAATTTTATATTTCCACGATATGACGACGACAGACCCTTGCCCGCTTGAAACCCGTTAAGTCTCGGCAAAGTGGCCGGTGGCTGCGGGTCGAGCCTTACATATACACACCTAAATTGCGAGAGCATCGCGTGCAGTGCGACGTGAACTTTCGCACTATAATGTCGCATGACGGAGGAGACAATGCACACGGTGGGATCCTCCACTTCTTCTTTCGTCGTCCGAGGGTCACCGGTTGAGAACACGCGGTATAGCGTTGGTTTCTTTTTCTTCTTTTTTTTTTTTTTTTTTTTTGTTTCTTTTGTTGGTGCACGTAAAAACGTGACTCTGATTGCGGCGGTACAGGGAGTATCACGATAATTGATGATGTTGGATTCGCGAGGAATCCCGAGGATACCGAGGAAACACTTATTTGCCCTTGCAAGATGCAATTCAGACTAATCAACGTGCACATTTTCTCATTCGGAGATGGATTATCCTCGTGGATCCTTGGATCAAACACGATAATCATGATGCAACAACCACTCGTTGTTCGATACTGTTCTATTGTTGTTGGCTATGCTGATGATCTATATCTGGCAACAGTAATTTTGCCTTCAAGGAATTTGCATTGCGAGCGACGAACATCACCACCATCGGTCTAAATATTATTTGATAAATCAAAGAAAAGGGAGGTAGGTACCACCCAGGGATTCTAGAGGGGAACTAGACTGTAAAATGTGAATAGTTTTGTTTCTCACTTCTACCGATCTGTCCTCAAATCATTATTACCGTATTTTCTCCGATAAATGTTGACCTTCGATTGCTATCGAAACGGGGGCAAACATCATGGTGGGTATTCTAGGCTCGATCGTTGAGTAATGCTCCGATAATTTTCGATTTTTTCGTGATACCGTGAAGCACACACCTCCAAATTTATCCATACGTAGAGCAGTAAACCTTCATTCAGGACCGATAATCATTAGGTACAATCAAACACGATGCCCTCGTAGCGAAACGTGAGATCATTACGACTGGACGGTCCAAACGAAGAGTGAAGAGAAAAATGGCTCCTCCGGGGTGCTTATCAAAGTCAAACCATCGCCACCATTGACGCGTGAGAACGCAAAGTAGCCTCTTTCTTCCGTACGCTCGTCTCAAAAGAGTATACGCGGAGAGGACTTTGCATATACCCACGTACGTGAACCGCTACCGTTCGTAACGCAAGTGCACCTACGTAACAAACGCACGAGTTCCCACAAGGTGGTTGTATATACATACGATTGACGCAGTAGTGGAGCCAGAAGGGGATACATGTGGGTGTATACTATACGGCAAAGAGGGAGGAAAAAGAAAAAAAAAAAAAAAAAAAAGAAATGTAAGAGATGGGTTCATCGTCCCGTTTTTCTCGCCGAACTCTCTTTTACATCTTTTGTTTCTTTTTTTTTCTTGATCAACTTAAGCTTATGTGATCGCTATCTATACATCTATACATCTTTTTTTATGTGAACGATTACATAAGCTTATAAATAGTACGCTTAATATTATATTTCTTAAAAAATTTTAATTCAAGACTAGAGTTCATTTTTTGTCTCTAACAAGTGCTTGCAATAATTTGACATATCTATTTGAAAGCTGAAAAACTACTATCCGTTAGAAACTTCGTGATGCAATGCATTAGATTTTACAAAGCTGTGGATGGGTACGGTCACGAGGAAAGAGCCAAACGATATACCATTATTAATAACAAAGTAAGCATTCTGAAGTAAATGTTTAATTTCAAGATGTAGAAAATTTTGAACTATAATTTGAATGTAGGTTTATTTAGGAGAAAATATAACTGTTGACAGTCTGCGATGGGAGCTTATGCAAATTGAAAAACCAGCTTTTTTTTTGATCGACGTAGCTATGCGATTATGGACCCCTGCTAAACTTGCAAACAGAGCTCTGGATATGACTAAGCCTATTGAGAATATACCCAGTAGATCACCAGTAAAACAGATAGAAAGTAACAAACTTCGACTTCTTATCAGTAAGTATAGATCATCCTTTATACAGTACTTGGAGGGGGAGGTCAGGTAAAATACATTTGTGTGGGTGTGTGTGTAGTAAAATAAAATATTTATAACGCAGTAATTCCATTCCCAATGTCATTTTGTAGGTACATATTATGATTTTCTATACCGTCAGCAGAATCTTGATTCTTTGGCGAAAGTGGAGTATTTGCTAAAAGTTACATATACTTTGCGCAACAGAATACGATCTATGAGAAGCAGAGCAAAAAATGTAATGCACAATCCACGTCGGCACCTCCGATATAACTTTGATCCACAAAATTAGTGTATGGATAGTTTTTTGTAGATTATGTATGTCTATTCAACTTTTTAGTAGTGCAGGTAGTATGCTACTAGTCATTAACATTTATTAATCTGGCTTAACGAAATTGCTTTAGTGCATGTCAGCAAACATATTTTGTGTAAAGTGTCAATGAATGACAAAAACTTTTTCTTTCATATAATTGAATGCGGTCTTGTTATAACTACTAAAACTTTTGTTTTATAATAAGAAAAAAGTAATTTTTTTCAAATAAGATTTCCACTAGATTGAAGCTGTTAAAAAATGTTTAACATATTAACAAAATGGGATCAGTTTTGTGTACTACATAATTATTGGTATTTTTAACATTGTTTTGCATCGTATATACCCATTTAATTAATAGGAGAATAATATTCATTACCAACTCTTATGCATATATACATGTATATACATACTACATGTATGTATAAATTATACTATGTACATACGTATACTTAAGTAAAAAAANAAAAAAACAAACAAACAAACAAACTTCAAACGGTGAACGTACAAGTGATGTTGTAGGAATTAACCGAATTTGGTTACCAGGGAGATCTGGGAGTTGTTTTTGTTGATGTGTAAGGCACTGACTTCTACCACAGCTGAAGTAATTGGTTTTGGTCCATGGATGACGGGGTGTCTGTTAACCAAAAGCAGAGATACGGTTCTCTCCAATTCCCGTACGTCTGGCACATCTGGACTCAAATATTTTCTCATCAGTTGAGTTTGCACGGCAGTTAGCCGTTTAAAGTCATGAACTTGTTGTACGTAGCCAATCGTGTTTCGCAAGCGATCCCAAAATTTAAATTTATCAAAAGTGCCTTGAAGTAATGAGTTTGGCACAAAGGCTGGATTATTATTACCACCGATGTATTCGCTTATCCATGTGGGTTCGTCAATACATGAGATTGCGACAACTGGGACATTCAAAAGGTAGCCCAAACCATAGTAACAGTTCGCTCCAAATGCCTAAAAATGTCGAGCAAAGTAAACATTTACGAATGTACCATAGTAAATAATAAAAAAACATCGTGTACTTACTTCGGTGATGACTAGATCGTATGAAGGTATGTTTTTAATGAAGCTTTGCATTTTTTCCAAACCCATTAGGTGACATAGATCATTACCATATTTTGTAGACATGTAAAACGTAGGATTACCACTTAATGTTTTTGCATATTTCATACTGACATTGTTGGTCACTGCCTCTGTACTACCACTTAGATCTACAACAACTTTGTAGTTTGGTGGTGGATTTTTCTCGGGAAACTGTGTTATCACGTCTACTTGGTGGTTGCGCTCTGCCAAGCCCTTCATTAATGCGCTTAGCATCACATCGTGACTTTTTGAAGGAAGTGGAAAAACTCCCAAAATTCGATACGACTCAGCAAATGAAATAATCAACAGTTCAAAAAGTAAATACATCGTTCTTTTATCGATGTACATTGTTAACTGACGCGATTCGTGCTTTAATTATTTTAATTCTAATGCTCAATATTTTTGCTAATGATAAGTGTGCACATGAATTAAAATAAACTTTTATTTCGGTGGCGTTATTTAATAGACGGTTAATAACGACGAAATAGTTTCACAAAAATTACAGAAATCAAGAACATGACTATGCACTTGAGCGACAAAACCAAAACTGATTTCTTATGTTCAAGCGTTTGTTTGTTAAGAACGTTATTGTTTATCAATATCCGTTCTCGATACGATGAACTTGTGAGCTAGATAGATATTCAGGATGACTGATGTGCACGTTAAATCGTATGCGCAGGAACCTTATCTTTAGAGATGGGGGAGAAATTGTGCCGTTATTTTTGGTTCTCAACATACTCGTGTAATGTATTAGCGAAAATGTATTGGGTCTAAACCTGAATCTGCAAAAAATTAGTTGTAACAAAATGTTTTTATGTATAATTTTTTTGTATTTTAAAAAAATTGTTAATGCCAAACCTTTTTTTACTGTTACAGTTACTCAAAATGTATTAAAATTTAATGATAAAAAAAAAGTTTTAATAATTTTTTTCACAAAAAGCATTTATTAATTACAATTGTGTGGTTAATAAAGCAAATACTCATTCACATATAACTTCTTACTCTGTAACTTGTCAAATTTAGTGAGAAGCTTTGAAACACATAAAATACAAACAAATTATAGAAAGAAAATTATATTTCTATGCTTAACTTTTTTGATTCACTCTTAGATGATGCAAGTAAAAATTTTTTGTTTCATTCAACCCTTCTAAAAAACGATTAGATAATAAGTTGTTACAGAACGAGCATCTAAAATTTAGTAATTTATCGAAAAAACTATTTCTAACTTATAAAATAAAGAATTTTGTTTTTGAGATTCGAAAATTATAGACTACTATTTGTAACAATTGTAAAAAGCACTAAATATCAACAAATAAATGTTCTTTACTGCCAATGTTTAGTAATTTTTTCACAAAAAACGGAACAACAAAACTTGGTGTTACAAATTTTGTATCTATAAAAACTACACTTTACATTTGATTTTACTCAGTAACAGAAGTTACTATCGATTATTTTTAGAAGTCTTTGTTTAACAAAAGTTGTTATGAATATTATTTAAATTTTATTGCGAATATAATTATATCCTCTAAAATACAGCTGTATCCATAGCCTCCATTGGTCTGTCTTTAAATAATTTCGAGTACAACTTTGCATTTTCTCTGTAGTGGAAATGCAATTAGTTTTACGATTTGAATTTACAACACTTAGATAACAGAGTAAGATTATTTTAAAATTGTATACCTATATTTTGGATCGGTAAAAATTGTTCTTAGAGTTTCATCTAAAGAAGCTTCATTGATGTTTTCATAATTAATCTTGATACCCATGTTCTTTTCCTCAAATCTCGCTACATTTTGCATTTGGTCGCTAAACAATGGAATACCAATTATTGGTACTCCGAAATATAACGCTTCTTGACAGCTCATCAGTCCTCCGTGAGTTATGAAAACTCGAACATTTTTGTGATCTATGGAATAAAAAAAGTTTTTCCTTATAATAATCTCAAAATCATATACCTCAAAATCATATAATAATTCTGACAATTTATAATTAAAATAATCACCTAATACACTTAGCTGAGGGATCCACGGTAAAGTCAAAATGTTTTTCGGTAATCCTGGCGGCAGTTTACTTGGGTCAGCAATTTTCATCAGTACTCGCATCGGAGCTAATTTAGAGAAGGACTTGTAAATAGCGTTTAGTGTTTCTGGTGGTAGTGTTTCTATCAAAACCATCGATCCAAATGTGAAATAAACAACCCCATCTTGGCTGTCATCTAACCAATTTTGCAGTTGCTGTAAAAAAAAAAAAAAAAAAACAAACAAACAAACAAACTTCAAACGGTGAACGTACAAGTGATGTTGTAGGAATTAACCGAATTTGGTTACCAGGGAGATCTGGGAGTTGTTTTTGTTGATGTGTAAGGCACTGACTTCTACCACAGCTGAAGTAATTGGTTTTGGTCCATGGATGACGGGGTGTCTGTTAACCAAAAGCAGAGATACGGTTCTCTCCAATTCCCGTACGTCTGGCACATCTGGACTCAAATATTTTCTCATCAGTTGAGTTTGCACGGCAGTTAGCCGTTTAAAGTCATGAACTTGTTGTACGTAGCCAATCGTGTTTCGCAAGCGATCCCAGAAACTGAATCTGTCAAAAATGCCTTCAAATAGTGAGAGTGGCACAAAGGCTGGATTGTCGTTGTTGCCAATATATTCGCTTATCCATGCAGCGTCGGCATAAGTCGAAACCGCAACAACCGAAACTTCCAGTAGGTGACCAAAACCATAATAGCAGCTTGCTCCTATGGCCTAAAAGTATTACTCAGTGACCATTTACAAATATATAATCGATAAAAATAAAAACATTATGTACTCACTTCTGTGATGACTAGATCGTATGAAGGTATGTTTTTAATGAAGCTTTGCATTTTTTCCAAACCCATTAGGTGACATAGATCATTACCATATTTTGTAGACATGTAAAACGTAGGATTACCACTTAATGTTTTTGCATATTTCATACTGACATTGTTGGTCACTGCCTCTGTACTACCACTTAGATCTACAACAACTTTGTAGTTTGGTGGTGGATTTTTCTCGGGAAACTGTGTTATCACGTCTACTTGGTGGTTGCGCTCTGCCAAGCCCTTCATTAATGCGCTTAGCATCACATCGTGACTTTTTGAAGGAAGTGGAAAAACTCCCAAAATTCGATACGACTCAGCAAATGAAATTATTAGCAGTACAAAAAGTGGAAGCACCATATTTTTATTGATACACATTGTGGATTGACTCCACCTGAGCTTACACTACTTATATTCTAATAATTTTTTAATGTTTTTAAATTTGATTTACCATGTGTATATTTTTGCCGATTATACTTTACTAATGTATTGAATTGATTTTTTAACTCCTTCATATCTTAATACTTCATAATAAACTTTTCTGTATTTAGACGTGTGTCACAATCATATTTTGGATGCTCACTACACTTTTTTTACAGTTGTACTACTGGAGGATAAATTAATGAAAATGTATAAGTATCGAAAAAATAAAATACAATCTGACTTTGACTTTTTCCTTCCACAGTAAACTTACAACTGATCGGTGATGTATAAACGTACTTTCATTGAGACATTAGCTTATTAAAAAAAAATTTTAATCTCATGCCCTTGTAAACTTGCAACATATCGATAAGAAAAAATTGCGGAGAGAAAGATTGAAACATCAAACGTCAACTTCTCACGTAAAATTAAAAAAATTGTAATATAACTTTAATGAGCATCTAAATGTGATTATTTTTTGCTGCTTTTTTTTTGCAAGAGTCCCAAAAAGCAAAAAATTGGCCGACTATCTCAATCAAAAAAAGCATTTCGTTTTTTCTGAGTGAGTCTTGAAGTATACGTTAGGACCACTGGAAATGTTATCAAATTATCTTACGAAAGATTAGAGCATAATATATCACAAAACATTTATTACACTATTGATGTACATTAAAAATTAACTATCTTTACTTAGCTGATTAAAACTTTTTACTGTGTTTTTATTTTTTCAATTTTTTTTCGTAACATGCTTACTTGTGCCAATAAAACTGGAACTTTCTTCATTAACCTACGGGTCACGCGATACAAAACAGTAAAAGCTATTGCTAGGCACGTTAATAGAAATCCATAAACGTCGAGCAGAGTCAGTTGCCACCAGGATAGCTCGAGGGCTGGTGATTTCATAATGTTTCCGTTTCGAATGACATATTCTATCCAAAACGTTGCCATATCCATCGACTTCATTGGCCGGTCCTTGAAAACTTTTGCGTAATACTTTGCGTTCTCTCTGAGAAAATCAATAATTTACATGGTTTTTTTTTTTTTTTTTTTTTTGTTTTTTTCACAAAATGAGTTTTCTATGTTTGGGTAAAGAGATTGAAGAGTCACACGGTACAGCCTCTTCATTGGAAATTTGATCGATTAAGCTTCATCAAGTGATTTGGGGGAGACAATTACAAATGTTGACATGGTTTGGGATTGATGTCTTAATGGGATTCACACGTCTTGCTGTGAAGTAATCAAATACAAAGTTAGTAAACATAAAATGAAGTGATGGCTTTTGGCAGGTTGGCTCAGACATACACCATATATTACAAGCAACATTGTGAACGAGGATGATTATTAGATGAATACCACCAGCCCTCATGAGTCAATAATTCATGTTGTTGGATAAATTTCAAATTTTACCTATACTTGGGGTCGTACAATACTGCGTTTAAAGCTTCATCCAGCGATGTCGTTGTCAAGTTGTTGTAATTAATTTTAATCGCCATATTCATGGCTACAAATTTATCTAAATTTTGTGGCTGATCGCTAAAGAGCGGCACACCAATCATTGGAACCCCAAAATATAAGGCTTCTTGACAGCCCATAAGTCCTCCGTGTGTAAGGAAAATACGAACGTTTTTGTGAGCTGAAAAAAATGGGTTAAGAAAATGGTCATAAATGCCACTTTCAATGGGTTTGAGAGATTACCTAAGACCGCTTGTTGAGGTATCAAAGGAAGAGTTTTCACGTTTTCCGGTAATCCAGGTGGTAATTTTGACTCATCGACAATTTTCATGAGTATTCGAACTGGTGATATTTTTTTAAACGATTCAAAAAGCGCTTTAATGGAGTTTAACGGTAACGTTTCGATCAATACCATCGATCCAAACGAAAAACAAACTACACCATCTTCGCTTTCATTTAACCATTTCTGCAATTCCTGTTGACAACTTCAAGTTAACCACAACTCAATTTTACGCATTCGAATTTTTTAAGTTGCAAGCTCATGTGTACGTACGGGAGTTATTGGTGGTATTTCATTTTCTTCCAAATGTAGTCCGCTTACTTCGATCATTGAAGGAGTCACGGGCTTTGGGCCATCAATCAGTGGACTTCTGTTGACTATAAGTAATGCGATGCTCTTTTCAACTTCGCGAATATTTGGTATGTCTGGGCTTAAATATTTCCTCATCAACTGCGTTTGAATGTCATTGGTTATTTTGTGAAATTTATACGTGTGCCAAAGGTGAGATACGAAATTAAACAAACGATGCGAAAATTTAAATTTGTCGAAATTCGTTGTGTAATAACTAGGCACGACAGCCAGGTTGTCGTGATTCCCATTGAAGTCAGCGACCCATGGATATTCAACTGATGTAGTTACTGCAACCACTGGCACGTTGAGCACATATCCAAGACCTAAGAAGCAATTGGCACCGAATACCTGCAAACGCAATTATGTATGTATAGTAGTTTCACAAAAGTTACTAGTTATATTATATTAATTAAAAAAAAAAATTTTAAGTAAAGTTTGTTTTATACGCCTTCGCAATGGATATTATGTCATTCGTACTCTACTATGTAATATAGTTTACCACTTAATGTTTTTGCATATTTCATACTGACATTGTTGGTCACTGTCTCTGTACTACCACTTAGATCTACAACAACTTTGTAGTTTGGTGGTGGATTTTTCTCGGGAAACTGTGTTATCACGTCTACTTGGTGGTTGCGCTCTGCCAAGCCCTTCATTAATGCGCTTAGCATCACATCGTGACTTTTTGAAGGAAGTGGAAAAACTCCCAAAATTCGATACGACTCAGCAAATGAAATTATTAGCAGTACAAAAAGTGGAAGCACCATATTTTTATTGATACACATTGTGGATTGACTCCACCTGAGCTTACACTACTTATATTCTAATAATTTTTTAATGTTTTTAAATTTGATTTACCANAAATTTTAAGTAAAGTTTGTTTTATACGCCTTCGCAATGGATATTATGTCATTCGTACTCTACTATGTAATATAGTGTAATTTGAAATCTAAGTTGATTTGTTTTGACCAAAGTTTTCTACATTTATAAAAATATGTTTAAAAAAAACAACTAAAACTGGTAGAAATTTCAAGAGAAATGTTCACAAAAAAAGTAAAAATGTCTTCTAAGCTTACAAATAAGCTTATAATGTTGCAGATGAAAAATTAATTATTGAATCGTGAAAAAATCTCTATATTTTTTTCGGAATCATAAGATGGATTTTTTTTTAAATTCATCCCATGTTATTAGTTTTTACTAAAAATTTACAAATTTTTGTACAAAAAATATCATGCATACCTCTGTAACCAGGAGATCATAAGGAGGATCGTGAGGTGGATTTTTGATAAGTTTCTGTATTTCTTCTATACCCAGCAGTTCACACATCTTATTGCCACGTAAATCGGCTATGTGTGCAGTTAGATCTCTGTCTACAACTGAGTTGATGGAAACTTTGTCAAACGTTCCATTGAGTTTTATTAGCAGTTTGAAGTTTGGTGGTGGATTTTTTGCCGGAAAGTGCGTGATAACATCAACTTGGTGGTTGCGCTTTGCTAGTCCAACCATTAATGCATTAAACATCATGTTATGACTTTTGGACTCAAAGGGAAAAACCCCTAAGATACGGTGAGCTTCGATATAAGTTGAACTTGTAATTAAGATAACTAAACAAATGTTGCTTTGTAGTCCTAACATTTTATTGAAATCTTCGTCCTCTTTCTCCTTCTTTTATTTTTTTTACTATTATTATTTTTTTTTTTTCCAACAACTGCTGCTCCTTTATCAAATCTGTTGTCAATAAAAGTATTTCTTCATTTAATTAACTAAAATACGGCCAGGTAACATCTTACGGTTCTTTTAAGTAAACTAAATAAAATATCCTTCTGGTATTATAAACTGGCACACAGCACAGGTAATCTACCTACGTCAAAAAAGAATACACTATAGAGAAAAAAAAACTTTTAATCGCTTTTCTTAGGTACTGTATATTTTGTATATCATCACAACTCAGCAAGGAATACGTCTACAACAATATGGGCTTAAATGGAAACAAAGTGATTTAATTACGTTTTTTGAATTTTTAGAAATAAAAATGACTAGTTCATTGATCAAGCATTACGTATTTTATATGATAAGGAATAAAAAATGAGCATCATGATTTTACATGTAGTAAAATATCCAAATTTTTTCTACTATTCCGTTTGACTATAATAAGATAAACTTGGAGTGTCAGAATAAACCCTTGAGAATTATTGGACACGGTATACTTTTCAATCCATGCATTACTGATGGTGCGTGTTCAAATATTCCGAGAAAGCCTTTCTGCAAAATTATAGGTTCCGAGGTTTCCGGTCTGCTCTCATGTGTACGGTTTATACGTGTATTTGCTCAACGGAAGTGTTTTTAAATTCAGTCTTTCCCCATACCCTCCTTTACTTGCTCAGCTTAAAAAAAAACAACAAAATTTGGCATCTTTCGAAAAATACATAAAAAGAAATTTATGGACCAGTAACTGTTTTTGTGTCGGATAATTTGAAAATTATGTTTGTGAAAATAATACATTAAGAACACGCTTGTAAAGTAATTGTTTCGTATACGCCGCGTAAAATGTCTCGGTCCGTCTTCGGTTTCACCCTTCGCGTAACAGACAAATGAAATTTGGTGCACGCACGAATACGTATCCGGTCCATAACAAATTCGCGTGAATGCACCAGCGAGTGATGATCAACATCCTTTCTCGACTTTTGAAACTTTTATATCAAATTTTTGCCACAAATCGTCTTTGCAGTTTTCTTCAATTCAAAGGTAATGCTCAATTTTCAATTGTCATCGAAAAATTAGATTACTTTTTGATTATTTCGCGAAATATTGAACTTGCAAGCTGATAAGTTTATTATTGCTTTGCTTCGTGCCGGCACCCAAAATAGCAAGAGCATAAGAAAGCGGGTCCTGAATTGATGAATGGAAAAAATTTATCCAGAACCAATTATCACCAACGTCAAGCATCACAAGATTTCTAGTTATTTTTATTTCATTTCAGTTGACTATCTTATTATGGTGAGTAAATCATTTTGTATTTTATATTCTAGATCAATGATATCAATGTCAAACTACAATACTTTGGAAAGAAACATGACGAAATTGTTAAAGTATTTTATGTCAATGGTACATACATATAAGTTTAAAAAGATTTAATGCCGTATAATCAATTGGTTAACTATTACAACTATAAAAACCTAATGTATTCGAATTTGTTTAATTACCGTGACAAAGAAAATTTCTGATTGACCAGCTTTTATCTGTAATTTCAATAGATTAAAAAAAGGGAAGGTAGGCTTAGCCACTTTAAAAATAAAAAAGTGTAATACTGTTGTTTGGATTACTTGTCTATATGATCCTCAAAACTGAAGGAATCCACCGCAAGCTTAGTTGTTGAACTTCCCCGACCGCTGGTCACTACTTGAGTGTTTTCTTTTGTGCACAGCTAAATTTATAAAAAAAAAGAGTAGATTCAGATAGTAATTTCTTAATTGGTAGTAAATCATATTGATCCTTGGGCTAAACAAGGAGGTGACACCAGCCACTGAGCGCGTGACTGCTAAGATAAACATTTTTCAACTAAGAATACACTGCACATATTCTATTGTGAAAAGTAATGAAATTTACTTTCTTTTTTTATAAACGCTTCCAAATAATCAACTCATTACATTTGATACATTAATGATGCCCCCCAGAGGTACATAATAAAATCGTATGAATTAATTTTAAAAATGACGGCAAGATTATATGTACTGCAAAGCTTCTTCAATCAAGTTTTCTCAAATCTAAAATGCAAAGACAATTACATGTTATATCCTTGTACACCAAAAAGCATATCCCACTTCTAGTTTGTCGCTGGAAACCAAAATTTATGCTTCTTTTGTTCCCCCCTTCAAAGCTTGTTACAACTAGAAAATTGTGCTCGATTATTTAATATCAGTTAGAAAAACGCTGTGTATTTTTCGAAGCGATAATTAAAAATATTAAAAAATTTCCACTGACCAAAATTATCCGTTAAGGTTTTAAAAATTTTTTTTCCCATTTATCGTTTACGAAGATAATTTATTGCCACGTTCGTCAAAAAGTATATCACGTAAGTGAAATTAGAGTATCAGAATTAAAAGTGCTTAAACACCGCTTTGGTAATCCTGTCTCCGTGGACTCCCGAAACTTGTCAGCGTCATTGAAATGACCGAGAACCTTGCGATTATTGAGAATCAAAGGCAGCGGTGTCATCCTTCAAATGAAAGCGCTTGGTTTTGTGATAAAACGAGTTTTCATGTATATATTTTTCTGTTCCTGAAACGACTTTTGCTGCATAGATAGGAACATTTCAGTCCAGTATCCTATGAAATAAATTATCTGTGGCAAAAAACATGATTGTTTCGTATTGTAGTAAGCGTGAAACGCAATAAGGAACAGAGTCCCATGTGTCAAAAAAAAACCATCTATTTTTGTTCCCTCGCATGTAGCGAAAACCCCCATCTCGATGTACATAATATATATTTATTTATGTGCAAGGATCAACTGGCAAGGAATCGCGTGATCCTCCAAATAATGGACTCGTTTTCGAAAAAGTCACGTTACTCGGCAAGACGTATATGAAAAAAAAAAAAAAAAAATCCTTTTTTGTTCAAAATAACTCAATACAGTCCGAAACACGGCCGTTTGAAAAAAATTTCGACTTACACTCTACTTTTTTGTTCGAGCTATAACCACATGTCATCGAGTTTTGAAATTTCAAACGACCCTACTTGGGCCCTATATAAGGTTAAAGCGAAGCTTCCAACTGTATACTGTACAAGTTACATCGAAGGAATATTGTACTTGTAAAAAAAAAGGAGAAAAAGAAAAGTTCCAAAGGCACTTAATAAATATCGGTAAAGCTATCTGGAAAAGCTCCAGCAAGTCCAGTGCTCGCGTCACATGAAATACGCGAGGCCCCTGCATCCGTTGCCTAGCCGTCACTGGTACCAACAAACGCACAGATGCCGATTAGCCGCAAAATTAATCATCGTTTCGGCACATGTATAAGTATAGCTCAACGGAGAACCGCATGTATAACGTACGTGAAACAATTTGCAGTGCAGCAAAAAACACGGGCGCGTACTAGGGGTATAGAGCCCGTCCTTATGGGGCCTGCGGGTTTCCAAAAAACACAGCAGCATAGCCCAATTTCAACTCGACTGTTGCACATGCGAGTGCACGCGCGCGCGAGACAATAAGGTGGATAATGACGACGGCGACTGCAGCTCGCGGGCCAATAATTTGCAATATACGCCGCGGCTTCCTTTGACTGTCACGCCACTTGGCGCATTTTACACCTTCCTCTTCTTCTTCTTCTACTCTCTCCTGCTTCTTTTTGTTTCTCCTGCTCTGCTTTGCTCGGCTCTAACTGCAGCCCTTGCGATAGAAAATACGACCGGGTTATATGGATGCATAGCTTGTCGTTTCGTTTTCTCGTCTAAAAAAGTGCAAGGGAACCTCGTACCCGGTACAGCAACGCGAGAGATTGTGCCCTTTTTTTCGATTATTTGGTAGTCCATTTTTTTTTCTTCTTCTCGCTGCGTTATGGGTTTTATTTTCTTATAAATTAATTTCAACGATGGGTTTCTCGAGAATCTCGCTATCGATTTTCCTTTGGTAGGTGTGTATACTTTCAACATTTTCACCTGCAATGGAAAAATGGGTATACTGATTATTAATTTGCACTATACTAAACAAACACATTAAATTGATACAAATGCATTAAATTATCGACAGAAGCGGTGATTTGAATTTAACATTGTGAAAGCTGAAAAGCTCCGCCTATACGTAAATACACACACACACATATATATATATATATATATATACACGCATACCTATATTTATAACGTGCAATTGAATGCTCGTCGTTTACCGAGTAAAGCATCATAATGTTTTCACGATGTACGGATGTTTTATTATTCCACTGTAAAGGAGAAAGAGGGAAGTACACGAGGATATCCGTGTGTGTGTGTATTGATTTGTTATACGCGATGAGGAGGAGCTTTTTTGCAGCAGTTGGTATGCGTGTATCTTACTATTATAAGAGTATTGAAACTAGCGTCAATCATTTCAGCGAAACGTTACGTAAGTAGTTAACTTTAAAAAAAGTCAGACATGCATTATCCAAGTGTTCTTGAAATAAAAAAAAAAAAAAAAAAATGGGTTCTTACTCTCTCCATTGGCTTACATAATTAATGCCAAAACTCCGGTTCTACCGATCAAACGATCGCTTCTCGTCGACACTCCTCTACACATACGTACCTCGAAAACCATATTAAAATCTCCTCACAAAATTCAAAGAAATAAACGTACCGCACAATATAACGCGTGCACATCAATCTTATCGGTTTATCGGGCAAAGCCTCGCGCGCGCGGGTATGTATATAATATTATACGCTTGTACGAGAAAAGGGATATCGCACACCGATATCTTCTGACCCAGTCGAGTTTCTCGATTTTACCATCTCAATAAACGGAATGACTAAACAAGTGGGCACGAGCCGAGTTTTTCTTTAACCTTTTATTGTAATTAAAATGAGGTGTTATAATAT